TTTTTATTTTTTATTTTTTTATTTTTTTTTGGAGCGAGGATTTTAGGGGTGGTAACGTTTCAGATTTAGGGAATTCCAGGACCGCAGGATAGGTTCTCCTGATGATGTTTTGAGTCTATACACACCCGGTTTGACAACCCTAGTGATCTTGTAAGGACCCTCTCAGTTGGCTCTGAGCTTGCCGGCTCCCCATTCCTTCGTGTTTTCGAATACCTTTCGCAGCACCAGGTCGCCTAGTTCTAGCGGTCGCGAGTGAACCTTCTTGTTGTAGTAACTCTGAATCTGGTTCTGGTAATTTTGGATTCAGAGTAGTGCTTGGTCGCGACGTTCCTCGAGTTGATCCAAGGCATTAAGCATCATCTCCTCGTTAATGTCTTCATTCTATGGGAGCTTTGCACGATGGACGAATTTGAGGTAGGCGTCCATTCGCTCGTTTCAGATGTCTTAATCTCCATGGTATTGACTGGCGACGAGTTGCGAGTCACAATATGCACTTAAACGCTTTGCGCGGACTGCTTTCGCGAGTCTGAGGCCGGCGATTAGTGATTCGTACTCGGCCTCGTTGTTCGAAGCGTTGAAGCCGAAAGTGAAGGACTGCCGGATGAGTTCGCCGGTGGGGGACTGAAATTGCACTCCTGCGCATGATCCTTTATTATTCGATGAGCCATCGACGTGCAGTATCCAGTTTTGGTCGGGTATGACCAAAACCTGTTCGAGATCGGGGTCGAGTTCTACCATAAAATCAGCGAGGACTTGAGACTTCAGGGTAACATGGTTCTTGTAGGTTATATCGTACTCGCTAAGTTCGATTGCGCACTTCGACAATCTGCCCGACTGATTAGTGTTGTGCATTATGGTCCGCAAAGGTTGATCCGTAAGAATCTCGATGGCGTGGGACTGGAAGTAAGGGAGGAGTTTCCTGGCGGAAGTGATAACCGCGAGTGACATCTTTTCCAGTGTCGGGTAACGCGTTTTGGGATCTGTTATACACTTGCTCATGTAGAAGATAGGTTTCTGTTCTCCCCGGTCGTCTTTTATCAGGACGCTACTGACAGCTTTTGACGACACCGCGATGTACAAGGACGGGATATCCCCGTTATCCGGTTTAGCGAGGACTGGTGGGATTGTTAAATATTACTTGAGCTGCGTAAAGGCCTCTTCACACTTGTCATCCCATATAAAGCGTTTGTTGCCGTGGAGGAGGTCGTAGAATGGAAGGCACTTATCCGTAGATCTTGAAATAAATCGGTTTAGGGCTGCTATCCGACCAGTCAGCCTCTGGACCTCGCGAGCATTCTTCGGACTCGGGAGGTCTAGGATCGCTGAGATTTGATTCGGGTTAGCCTCGATCCCGCGTTGTGTGACGATGTAGCCGAGGAATTCCCCGGATGTGACCCCAAACGTGCATTTCGCCGGGTTTAGTTTCATTTCATACGCGTTCAGTATTTCGAAGCATTCTTGAAGGTGATGGAGATGGTCGTCCGCGCGAAGAGACTTGACGAGCATGTCATCGATATATACCTCCATCGTCCTTCCGAGCTTGTCAGCGAACATCTTGTTAACGAGTCGTTGATATGTTACGCCGACATTATTTAGACCGACTTTATAACAATATGTTCCACGATCTGGTTATAGCCGGAGAATGCATCCATGAAGGTGAGAAGTTCGTTCCCGGCTGTTGCCTCCACGAGTCGATCGATATGAGGGAGTGGGAAGCTATCCTTTGGGCAGGCTTTGTTAAGATCTGTGAAATCAACACATACGTGCCACTTCCCGCTTTTATTTTTGACAACTACGGGGCAAGCCATTCCGGGTACCGAACCTCGACGATCGATCCAGCGTCTAGTAGATGATCGACCTCGTCATTGACTGCCTTTGCTCGCTCGGGACCGAGTCGACGACGTTTCTGCCTAATAGGTTTAAATGTTGGGTCGACATGGAGTTCGTGAGTAGTGATAGCCGGGTCAATTCCCTTCATATCGGAGGTTGTCCAGGCGAATATTGAAGCGTTTTGTCGAAGGAAGGCGACAATGCGCTCCCTCATTTCATCCATTAAGTAAGCACCGACGCGGACCATCTTGCTTGGATCGTTTTCATCGAGAACAATCTCGGTGACTTCCTCTTTCTGCGGGTAGATTTTGTGGATGGTCTTTGTTACAACATTGACGTGGGAATTTTCCGTCGGAGTTTTACAGCAGCGACCAATAGTTCGCAAGCTGCCTGCTGAGGTCAATCTCCATTTTTTCGAGGGTGTTTAGGAAAATGAGGTCCACCGAGCTTCCCGTGTCGATCAGGACTTTTGTGACTTTGCACTCGCCGATCCCGATCTCCACTAGCAAGGGATCGTTGTGCGGCATGTGCATGCCCACGGCATCCGCGGGCGAAATGGTGATGGGTAGACTGTCTTCTGGTTTGGACGACCACTTTTTGGAAGAAATAGCTTGGCGTTGGTGAGCTTTTACTGATCGGACCGAGTCTTCGCATGGGGGAGAGCCGCCCATAATGACATTTAATCGAGTTGCTCGCACGGTTTCTGCTCGCGGTTGGGAGGGTTCGACACGATAAGTATGAGTGGCGGGAACTTTCTTTCGATCGAGCCGTTGCCGTAAGTCTGGAACCTTTAGCTTCTCTAGCGTGTTTCGTAGGTCTTCGGTAACTTGTCGAGGGGCGTCAGCTGCGATAGCGTTCGCATTTCCTTGCTTTCGTGCTTTCTTCGAGTTGAGCTGATTGCGAAGGTCGTCAGACGGTGTCCCCTTACGACGGGAGTTGAGATTTGTCTGAAGGTCGGAGGATCCAGCGTCATCGTCCGATGATTGCTCTCCGTGGGAGAGGATGACCTGGATTCGTTTCGTATTCTTAGGTTGTTCGTCGTCGGCCTCATGCTCGTCTCGGGGGTGATCTGCTGTGTTTTCTTCATCGGACGCACCCGGGCGGGCTTCTCCTTCACGCTGGGACTTGTCATTCGTATTTTTGGACTTCTTGTCCTTATTTTTGCTCTAGCTTTTATCGGTGTAGCCCTCGGTTTTAGAGGCTCGCCTTCTATCTGCCCGGCTGCATACTTCGCGTGAAGATGCTCGCCTAGATGCCTGAAGTCTTTCGTATCATGACTCTTGATGTTGTGATACTTGCAGAATTTGCTTGTTTCGCTCCTTCGAGGGGACCTAGACCCAGATGGTGACTTAGCACCGTCGTCTTCGCGGTAATAATGGTTCCACCCTTTTCCCCAAACTACTACGGTAGACGCGGGAGATTCGTCGCCATCCACGTGGTAAATGTACCCCTTCTTACGGTCATTGCGGTCACCCGTGGAATGCTGACAAGGTTCTTGGCGCGAATCTTGTCGGGAGTCGTGGCTCTTCGTGGTCCCTGGTTTGTCCGAGTTACGCTTGTTAAGTATTGCTCGGGTATCTTCTTCCATGCGAATGAAGTTTTTTGAGCGGGCGATAACATCTTCCAGCGAAGTGGTCGGGCTTTGGTAGAGATCATGTCGGAACGGTGAGTGCATATATAAAGCGTTCTGTAGTACCTCGACAGCCATGTTGTCCGGGGCATTAACCTTGGAGGCCAAAGTTTTGAACTTTCCCATGAAATCTTTGAGGCTCTGGCCGGATGTCTGCGACATCTTCCAGAGGTTGGAAGCTTTGGCCCCTTGGCGAGTGAACATGATGTAGTGCTTTAGGAATGCTGAGGATAAATCATGGAAACTATATATGGAGTTCTCTGTTAGTCTGGAAAACCATGTCAGCGCCGGCCCGGTGAGACTTTCGACGAAGAGCTGGCAGAGTCCTGTATCTCTCTCTTCGTCCGAGAAACACGACATACCCATCACGATGTTGAAGGCGGTCACATGATCTGTCGGGTCGCTCTCCCCGGCGTAGGTGGGGAGTCGGAGTTTCTCAGTCAGACGGATCTTGACGCTACTTATTCGCGTTGTGAAAGGAGTGTGCAGCGACTCTGCGAGGACGCAATCGATTTGCGGCGCAGCGCTTGTGATGAATCTGAGATGTTATGGTTTGGAGTGACTTCTTGAGCTCGGCTATTTCCCGTGCGGTCCGAGGGTCTGAACCGCTAGCTGGTGGAGTAGAATCGTTCCTCGGAGCTTCTTCGGGTTGCATCGGCTGGTTGGCCGGAGTCGGCGTAGGGTTGGTGTTGAAGAGAAATCGACGGACCGAAGCCATGTCACGGGCTGCTCTTTCAAGGGGTGAAAAGATGGCGGCGAGGGCCGCGAGCTGGGCGTTAGTCTCCTTCTGGGCTTCGTCTTATTAAGTGAGGCGGGCCATGACGGAGTCCATGAAATTTTTGAGAGTCGGGACGACCGGGGTCTCCTCTGGTTGGTCGCCAGGAGAGTCTTCTTCGTTCGCCATGTTCGTCACACTACTTCGTTATGCCCCACGGTGGACGTCAACTGTTTGAACCGAGTTTGGTGATAACAAGTAAATTGATCGACAGAAACTCGTCGGTGGGTTATTACGAAGGTGCGAACATGCAAATGGAGCAAAGGACAGTTTATTGATCAATGAAAGAGTGTTTACAAAGAAGAACGTTGATGCTCGGGAGCTACAAAGTTGTACGGACCGATCTAAGAGCAACAAGGTAAGTAAACCCCTAGTTTAGCTGTTGCCTAGTCAGTCTATTTCCGGATCTCTTCTAAGTGGGTCATCTCTTCGCCTTTATAGGCTGCTGTACGGAAAATCTAATGAGTCGTATCCCTTGCTTTGTGGGCCTCCTTGACGATCTGGATCAATTAATTCGGTATGGATGGTGACGTGTGCTCGTTCCGAGTTCCTTGTCTTCTTGCGGGTGTACGCTTTCATTGCTTACACGGGTCGAGTAACGGGCTCCGGCCTTTATTCGATGGGCCTTGAGAGTAGGACGTAAGTTCACCCTTTACACTGAACCGGTTTATGATTAAGACCAATTGGGGGAAAACCAGGACCGGCACAATTACAAAAACCCACCAAAAACCCAAAGAAGATTGGCTCCCAAATAGAAACCAAACCCTTTCCACTTCTTCCTCCTCTTTTTGTTCCCCCTACTGTCGCCGCCGTTAAGGTTAATATTCAGAGGCGGTAGTGGCGGCGATGGCGGATCTTTTCCCACCTCTTGCGACGGCACAAATCGATGCCAAAACTAAAGTTGATGAGAAAGTTGATTACTCGAACCTCCCTTGCCCTGTTCCTTATGAGGAACTCCACCGTGAAGCTATCAGTTTAGTATTTCTTCTTATTACCAATCTATTTTTTCTTCATAATATCTTCTTTTTCTTGAGATTATAGCTTTATTCAGTTCCTGGATAGCTCAGACTGATCTGTGTGGCTTTAGTGCATTGTATTGTCAGTCTTTAGAGATTTAGCTTCTGTTCTGTTTTTTTTTTGTTATTGGCATGGTTGAATTGGTTCTGTTTCTTTTCTAATTGTTTTTCTTTTCTTAGGTCTTAAGATATTTGCAAACAGTAGAAATAGTATGATTGAAAGTTTTTCAATGTGTCTGGATTCGTTTCTGTTAATTTGTGTTAGTGATTCTGATCATTGTCTGCATCAATGCTTGTCTTAGTGGTTCTGTTCACTGTCTCCCTTTTTGTCTCTTTCTAATGGTTTCTTACTGTTTTTAGGGTTTGTTTCAATTGGTTTCTAACGGGTGGGTTTGATTTGATTATTTTACTTGCAGTGACTTTAAAGGCAGACAACTTTGAGGGTTTACGCTTCGACTTTTCCAAGGGATTGAGTCAGAAGTTTTCTCTCAGCCACAGGTAGTAAGATTATGTTTACTTACTGGTAAAAGCTTGTAACATTAATTTTAAGTTTACTCATTAAGCATCTTATATCTATTTCTTTGAAACAGTGTAATGATGGGACCAACAGAAGTTCCTTCTCAGTCACCTGATACAACTATCAAAATTCCAACAGCCCATTATGAGTTTGGTGCCAATTATTATGACCCAAAGGTATTGGTGATCAGTTTGTTTCATATTCTTATAGCTATCAAGAAGATATGAATATAACATTCAAAATAATAATATGCAGTTGGTGCTTATGGGAAGGGTTATGACTGATGGTAGACTAAATGCAAGAGTGAAAGCTGATTTGACTGATAAGTTGATCCTAAAGGCCAATGCTCTGGTAAGTTCTGCAACATTAGATTTTGTTTGTTCTATGGTGAATCGTATTTATCATCTTTTTTTTTTCCCAGCTGACAAATGAGCCTCATATGTCGCATGCAATGTTCAACTTTGATTACATGGTGAGGAACTTCTCTGTATCTGAATTTTTTTTATATCCTTTTGATGCACCTTTACTGGCATTTGGTTTTTCTGAAGTGTTTTTTTTTGGTCTCATGTTTTGTGTAGGGATCAGACTACAGGGCCCAACTTCAACTTGGCAACAGTGCTCTTATTGGAGCAACTTATATTCAGGTAAAGTGGACTATTGTCTGTCCATTGCTACAGCTGCATTTTTGTCAATTCTTTCCACGCGAAGTTACATAGGTAGGAAAAGGGCTAGCCATATTTGAACTTATTGCTCTCCTGTAGTAACGTTTATTCATGTAACTGTAACGCAGCGATGAGATATGAAAACCATAATCCGTTCTAATCAACTTTTGGTGGGCAAGCTTACTTAGTTATTATGGCAATAAGAAAAGTTGTCTTTTATGCGTCATCGGTCTTTTCATCTGTAATAGTTAAACTTTTTGGTATGGTGCATGCTTGGCGGCCGATCCTGGCCATAGCCAACTGAAACATTGGCCGATAGTCTCCATTTTTTTTTTCTAAATGCTACATAGATACATATAGGCCTCCAAATTTATAAAAAGTTTTTTTCTTATAGATTTTATTTTTTAAAATAAGAACTCTTACTAAATTGTTTATAGCCTCTAAAATCTCAGGGCCAGCTCGAGATATTGCATTTCTGTCTTGAGTGGGTCATTGTACTGACTGTATTTTCATGAAATATTGGACAGAGTGTGACACCCCGTCTATCTTTGGGTGGGGAAGTTTTTTGGGCTGGTGTGCCTCGGAAGTCTGGTATAGGTTACGCTGCAAGATACGAAACTGATAAGATGGTAAATCTTCTCATTCGATTCACCCTATCACTACTAGTTCCAAGCTATTTGTGAACAAGACTCTAACGGATTGTGTACCTATCATGCTAAGAATTTTTCTTTACCAACAGGTCGCTACTGCACAAGTTGCTAGCATTGGTTCTTTATCTATGAACTATGTTCAGAAGATTTCCGACAAGGTAATGCACATTTATCAATTATTATTGAGCTGCCATCTTATAACTCTATAGATCATAAATATAAAACATGACACCTTCATTTTTTTTCTGTCATGAGATTAGGTCTCACTCGCCACTGATTTTGTGTACAACTACTTTTCAAGAGATGTTGCGGCTAGTGTTGGGTATGACTACATCCTGAGACAGGTAACTTGTCCTTTTCTTTTCAATGGATTGTTGTAATGGAAGCACTTTCTTAATCTTTATTGGGTCTTAATAATCTGTGTGTTTGGTTTCAGTCTCGTGTGCGGGGGAAGATTGATTCCAACGGTGTAGCATCGGCTCTCCTTGAAGAAAGATTGAGTATGGGACTCAATTTTCTTCTATCTGCAGAGGTACAACAACAGTGTTCCTTGGTTCTTATACTGAGATATAACCGAAGATTCTCTGTTGATTGACTTTTTTTTTTTTTTTCCTATTAGCTTGACCATAAGAAGAAGGACTACAAGTTTGGATTCGGTTTAACAGTCGGCCAATAAGCATGAGTAAAGCTTGGTTTCTACACACGCAGCTTAGTTTGCGAAAACTAAGGAAATGTTTCAGTTTAGGTTTTTTGGTCGGCAACTTTGGGAAGTTTAATAAAAAACAGAAACAAAGGAAATGTTGTATTGTTATTTGCGGTTTAGGCTTTGTCTCACATTAAGAAATCCAATATATGAGGAGGTTTTGTTGTTATTTTCTTTCTTTAGATCTTCTAAACTTGTCGGGAGGTGTGTTTCATTTCATTTCCATACAAAACAAAAGCAAAAAACTATTTCCTTCTTTATTTAAAAGAAGAAAACGTATATTATTGTGTGCGTTAGCTAATAGCAGGTAAAATTAAATTTGGAGTTTGATAATGATTTTAACATAGTAAAAAAAGATTGATCTATTGTAGTAGAAAAATTGTTTTACGATTATTAAAAAGAAAAGTTGTAAATATTTTATCCAGAAAATGCAAACAATTTGGTTTTGTTTTCTGGTTCGAGTAAGAAAAACAATACATTACTAGAATCGGTCTCATCAATTTCTATAAATATAATTTGGGCCGACAGTATCTAAGTGGGCCGAGCAAATGTAATATTACCTTTTGTTACCACAGTTCTGTTGGAAGGTAATATTACCACAGTTCTGTTGAAAAATGTAAACCAAACCAGCACCTGTCTGATTCCGAGAAAGACCAAAAAAAAAAAAGTGTCTTCCTCGGTACTCTCTCTTCTTCTCCGATTCTCCTTCTTTGCAGAATAACATCAACGTTTTGCATTGCAGCCTGATTCGATTTCTTAGAACGCTGGAAACGAGATCTCTTGATGGAAGCTGCTATTGAGATTAGTTCTGGTAGTAGTAGTAGTAGTTATAGTGATAGTGGTAGTGATGACGAGGTATCAGAGCCCATTAGGCAAGAACCTAGAACCAGGAGCAGTACCGCAGGGCTATTTGGTACTATACTCTCTGCTCAGTCTCGATGAGGTTAAAGTTGTTAGCTTTAATGGAGTAATCTAACCACCAAGATCCTCTGTTTTTTTTCTTTGACTTGCAGGTAGCAGTAGCTTCCCTCAAAAGGGTTCCTCTGAGGTTAATAATAGTCAAGCTTCTAGCAGTGGTGCCCCATCTCTCCCAAGAGACTCTAAAGAACCTACAGTGAGTGAGAATGTTGTTTCTGGTGTGGTTAATGAGAATATGCCTCCTCAACAAGCAATGAAAAGGACCCTTCCACCCTCTTTTAATCCGCCTCCTGCTCCTTCAAGAAGTGCTAATAGTATAAGTCATGACAACGGGGGTGATAATACTACTAGTACAGATGTAGGCAACAAGAATACTACTCAAGCTTCTCGCAGTGTTGCATCGAGTTATAAGCCAAGAGACTCTACAGGGAATGAGAATGTTGTTTCTGGTGTGGATGACAAGAAGCTGCCTGCTCAACAACCTATGAAAAGAACCCTTCCACCCTCTTTTAATCCGCCTCCTAATCCCTCAAGAACTGCTATAACTCATGGAAACGTGGCAGATTCTGCTGTAGGCAACAACAAGAATGCTTTTGGTGATGGTTACCGTGGAACTCATGCTGACATCGGAATTCAGCGTGGCATGAATGGGGTTAGGATCCTGCCTCCATCTATGACGCATGGAGCATCTGCTTCTCCTTTGCATTATGGTGGTCCAAGTGATTCAATGCACAGGGTTGTTGGGATTGGTGGTGAAGACAGGAGTTCTGAGAACGATGAGAGGCTCATCTATCAGGCTGCATTACGGGTACTCATTCTTCTGACCCTTCTCTTATGGATGTACTTTAACACCTAGGCTTAGCTCTTCTTTTGTGCTTGCATGTTTTGTTTCTCTTGTACCAGATTTACAGTTTTCTGTCTCTTTTAAATCCCTTCATATGATTGGAGCAGTGAGTGAATATGTTTTATGTTTTATCCAAGTTGATAGTAGTTATACAGTGATCTGCATTATTTTTCATGTTTGAGAAAGAATGATCTTTTTAGTTCATTGACTGTATAAGCAGCATTCATTGTAAATATGTTGGCATCTAGGTGTTGTTCCATAATCATCCTGATACTAAATTGCATGTTAAGAGATTTTTTTTTTAAAATAATAAAGTAAGTTAATCCTGCAGGATTTGAATCAATCCAAGAACGAAATGGATCTACGTCCTGGTACTCTTTCAGTTTCTCTCATGAGGCATCAGGTGTTATTATCATCTTTTAATGTACCATTTACTAGTTGCCTTTAAACGTTTGGCTTGTGTACTAAAATACTATTGCTTTTCAGAAAATCGCATTGGCATGGATGTATCAGAAGGAAACAAGTAGTTTGCATTGCTCGGGAGGGATATTAGCAGATGATCAGGTCACATATAATCTAATATTAATATCTGTGATTCTGTTACATGGATTTTCATCTCAAGCTATTTATTTTTGCAGGGACTTGGTAAGACAGTCTCGACGATTGCTCTTATCTTGAAGCAAAAGTTCGAATCACAAATAAAATCTGAAACTTCAAGCAAGCAAGAAGCTGAAATACTGGACCTGGATGCTGATGATGAGTCAGAAACTCCAAAGCATGAAAGTGAAAGTCATGTGAAACCAGAGGTCAAGGTTTCAAGCAGTCCAGAGACAAAGAAAGCCAAAGATGAAGAAGAAGCGAGTAATTTGAAACAGAAATTTAACAGAAAGAGGCCAGCTGCTGGTACATTAATCGTCTGTCCAGCGAGTATTGTAAGGCAGTGGGCAAGAGAACTTGATGAGAAGGTTTCTTATGAATCCAGACTCTCTGTTTTAATCTACCATGGTGGTAATAGGACCAAAGATCCTATTGAATTAGCACAGTACGATGTGGTTGTCACAACGTACGCTATTGTGGCCAATGAAGTTCCCAAAGAGTCATTGGTGGATGATGGTGAGGATGATGAAAAGTATACTGAAAACAAAGGCTTCTCCGACTATAGGAAACGTAAAGTTGCAGAGGGTGCTAGTAAGAAGAGTAAGAAGAGAAAAGGCATGGATTCTTCTTCTTCTTTTGATGCTGATTGTGGTGCTCTGTCAAGAGTTGGGTGGCTAAGAGTAGTACTAGATGAAGCTCAGACAATTAAGAATCATAGGACACTAGTAGCAAGAGCCTGTTGCACTCTTCGAGCCAAAAGGAGGTGGTGTTTGTCTGGAACGCCAATACAAAACACCATTGATGATTTGTATAGCTATTTCAGGTTCCTTAAGTATAATCCGTATGCCGTGTACAAGTCATTTTACCATACAATCAAGGTTCCAATCTCCAGAAACTCTCTTAATGGTTACAAAAAGCTTCAAGCTGTTCTAAGGGCTATAATGCTGCGCCGTACCAAAGGTATACTCTGACCATCTCTCTATTCTATTAGATGTTTGGTTCAGTGATATATGATGGTCAGGACTTCACAATCTGACCAACGTTGTTCTATGTTATCCAGAAACGTTGCTTGATGGGCAACCCATAATCAATCTACCACCAAAGAAAATTAATATGAGAAAGGTGGAGTTTTCTGTGGAGGAGAGGTCTTTCTACAAGAAGCTTGAATCAGATTCACGGCAACAATTTAAGGTTCTCCTTTTCGTCCTCCACAATTTACAAGTTCATACTTGATTTGCAATTGTTATGAGTTTTTTTTTTCCTTGTGTCTTAAGACTCCAGTCTATATTTCTGCAGACAACTCGTACTTGTGCCTGATAAGATGATGTTTCATATTTCTGCAGGCCTATGCTGCTGCAGGAACTTTGAGCCAAAACTACGCAAATATTCTTCTGATGCTTTTGCGTCTACGCCAAGCTTGTGACCACCCACAACTTGTCAAGGGATATAACTCAGATCCTGTTGGAAAAGAATCAAGAGAAGCAGTTAAAAGACTCCCTAGGGAGGCTCGAATCAACTTGCTCAATCGCTTAGAGTCATCATCTGCCATCTGCAATATCTGTAATGTAAGTGCAGCTTTAACTGAGTGCTAGGACTAGCGTGTCCTCAGCTCACTATTCTCTAGTTCTTGGGCTGATTCTGACAATATTTTTCTGCAGGATCCACCAGAAAACCCTGTTATTTCGCTGTGTGGCCATGTGTTTTGCTATCAGTGTGTTTCAGAACATATCACTGGGGATGAGAACGTGTGCCCTGTAAGGAGATGCAGAGAAGACTTTGGGCGTGATGTTGTTTTCTCTAAATCTGCTCTTAGGAATTGCCCCACCAATGATGTAGGTGGCAGTTCTTCACAGCGTAAATCATTTTCTCAGAAAAGCGAGTTTAGTTCATCAAAAATCAAAGCTGTCCTAGACATTCTGCAGTCGCTTTCCAAACAAGGCAGTCGAAACTCAGCACAGCAGCCACATGACGATGACGACGATGTTACCTTTGTAGAGCCAACGACTCTTCACTCATCTTCACCTAGCCAGGGCCCAATAAAGACGATAGTGTTCTCTCAGTGGACTGCTATGCTTAACTTTGTTCAGATGAGTTTTATTGAAAATGGTATAGAGTTCAGAAGATTAGATGGTACAATGAGCCTAGCAGCAAGAGACAGGGCTGTAAAAGAATTCAGCAGAGATCCAGATGTAAGTGATATGCATATTTTTTATATATATTTTCCAAAATACTTTTTCTAGCCAATTCTCTGAAACATGGACTATGATCCTGAAGCTCCCTAATAGTGAAAAGTCTATAAACAGGTAGAGGTAATGCTGATGTCACTAAAAGCTGGAAACCTTGGGCTGAATATGGTAGCTGCATGTCATGTTATTCTCTTGGATCCTTGGTGGAATCCATCAACCGAAGATCAAGCTATTGATCGTGCACATCGTATTGGACAAACTCGGCTAGTTAGTGTAACTCGTGTTACTGTAAAAGATACTGTTGAGGATAAAATTTTGAAACTTCAGGTATTCGTTATCAGCTCGTTCTGTCTTTGTATTTGATGTCCCTTAGTTTCCAGCATTATAGTTTTCTTTTTGTTTTTAAATTATCAGGAAGAGAAGAGGAAAATGGTTGCATCTGCGTTCGGTGAAGAACATGGTGGAAGCTCTGCGACTCGTCTAACAGTAGACGATCTCAAATTTCTTTTCATGGCGTAGATCAACTGGCTCTCTGCGCTATGTGTAGCCTTATAGTGGCTGCTTAGGTTGCATAGTATTACTATATATTGGAGATTATGCCCAGCGTTTTTTGATCAGGAAGAAACCTCTTTGCTGCTTTTGTAACTGACAGTTCAATACTGTGGCTCTCCTAGGATATTAAGTGTTTTGGTTTTGTGAGGGTTGTAGCCAGTCTAGGTCTTTTGAGTTTTGGAGGTGCATTGACTGGAAGCGTGCTATTATGTAAATAACTAAATCGTTTCATGGTATATATGCCTCGTAGAAGTTTAACGGTAAAACTAAAGGATCAGCTGATGATCTTTTTTTTTCTTGTTATCACAACAGTATCCTTCAACTCTCCTTTGTGTTTATCTCTATCTCCTTGAAAATATATAGGACAGAGAACTAAGAAGCTGATAAGTTAGCAAATTAATATCTTCATTTCCTTTCATTTTGTAATGGGTCTTTAGTGGCTATGATATATTTTCCAGCTCATGGGTTTAGACATAAATAACAAGAGGACATTCAAACTAAATAAATAGTCACTTACTTTTATGTGTATTTTGTTTATAGATTCTCCCAAATGATTATGTAGATTCCAACTATGCTACATAAATTTAGGCTTAGAAAGAGTTCTTAATTCTATAGGAGGGAGTTCAACATGAGTTAACTACCTTTAGAAAACCAGTAATTCTGTGATTAAAATTATAGCAGAGTAGTGGTATATTTATTAGAAGTAGAACTGAGTTTGTATGGTATTTTTAGGGCATTTCATAATTCTTAATGTTTTTTCAATTTTTTTTTGACAACATGTTTTTTCAATTGAAAAATCACCTTAAACACTACTATGATGATTTATGGATTACAGACTTGAGATAAATACACACTAAATTCAAATAAATTTGAGATTTGTGTAGATTATTACATATATTATAATTGTAAAGGCAATTAGAAGAAATTCCAGAATACTGTAAAGTATATTTCTAACATTAAAATATTATTTAAACTGATAGTTCCTTTGATTCACTACTTTGGTTATTTATTACTTTATGAAACTTATAAAATATCTTATATATTAAAACAGAAGTCATGACTTGACTTCATGTGTGATTTTTTTTAAAAATGGACTATTACTAGAAAGTTATGTTACATTAACTCTTTAATAATCTTATCATTATCATATATTATGAAAAATCATATCTATAACAACAAAAATACGCGTAACAATTTGGTTTTGGTAAATTATCCCACACCTTCCAACTTAATCACACAAAATATGTCAATAGATATAAGTTTATGAATCTTCTATTATTTATAAGGAAAATATGTCAATAATAGCTAAATGCATCCACAATATATTAACAAAAATTACAGATTAATAATATGGAATATTTATATACCCTAAAAAAATCTACACGCTATATATATTAGATAAATTTATCTCGATGTAAATTTTTAAAATTTTATTGTTTTAAAAAAAGAAATTGTTTAAATAATTCTTTTTGGTAAAATTCTTTCTAATATTAATTTATGAAGTTATAAGTTTAGTTTTTAGCAATAATTTCTTCGAAATTTATATTATCTTTGTAAATTAAAGTATACTAATATTTAATCAAGCTCTATTTATATTACTTTATCTAAAAATGAATTACTAATCTAATAAACAATAAAATATAGAAGAAGAAACAAACACATGTTTGAAAAACATGTATAATATAGAAAATTTGAAACAATCTATTTGATTAAAACACTTATTATATAATATTTTTATGTTTGAAAAACATTTACTATACATGTCCTAAATATGTGATTACTATAATATATACCAATTTACAAGTGAAAACAAAATGTTTATATAAATAACTATAAACGAAAATAAACACAATAAGAAAATATTTGAGAAAAAATGGAAAACCTTTCAAATCCCGCCTATGTTATAAAATCATATATTCACTATATTTTTTTTTTTGATAAAAAAAGAGTTAAACCCGGGTCTATTAAAGACACAGACCTAATCCCCGGGTGGAGGTACAGCCCACGGATAGACCCTCTCCTGGGCATTCAAATGGGTCGAAAGCAATAACCCATATCCGTGTGGCCAGTAGGGTTTGAACCCGGATTCGCCTTATTGGGTTTATTATATTCACTATATTTTCAACATCAAATTCAGTCAACTATATCAACATTTGAGTTTATAGTTGCTTATTGTTTAGGGTTCAATATTTAGGAAGTGGGATCAAGTTTCTAAATTTCTCGATATAATTCTTAGATACTTATAAAGAATTTAGAAGGATTAGTTTAATTTAAATAATTCCAATTTTAACTTAAACTTAATATTCTTTTTTAATTTATTTTCAAATGATAACTATTTTCATCATAATTTTAAAATATTTAGGAAAATAGTTATCATTTGAAATAAATTAAAAAAATAATATTAAGTTTAAGGTAGAATTGGAATTTGCTTTATCTTAAATTACTTTTGTGGCAACCACAACAATTAAAACTATATAATCAATAAGGATATTATTATTTTAAACACACAAAATTGAATATTTTGAGTGTGTGAAGTTACACAAATTACCAATAAAATATGTATGAAAAATAAAAATAAACTCATAGAGAAGTGTATGTCGAGGAGAGTTAATAGTGAGAAGCTAAAAATGCCCTCAAACAATGTCCTATAATTCCTTGTATCTGATCTATATTTAAATACTCTTAAATATTCAAGAACTTGTGGTTTTGCAGACTAAAAATAGCTTGTGATGGGCCAATGTCATCAATTGTCAGGTCAGGACTAATGACCTTTAGCAGAAGAGTATAAATCATATAAGGCTTCTAAGATAAGAAAGGAGATGTTGTCAGAGAATCGCCTTCTTAACGCATTACTGACTCTTTTTCCAAGGAGCTGGCGGCTGAGCTGCACAATCACAAAAGAGAGAGGTTTAAATTTTTTAAAACAGATACTAAATGTTGAAAAATTGTAAAATATTTCCAAAAAATATTTTCGAATTTCAAAAAGAATATTTTGAAAAAGTAAAAAAAATTTAAAAAAAAAATCAAATGCGGAAATATATAATCTTAAATTGTATTAATTTTTTATTATTTATTTATATGTCTATAAAATAAGAGACAGAAAAATCTTTGTTCTCTTCAGTGAAATTTGTTTTGATCATTTTCTTTTCTTGGGTGTTTTGAACATTATTCATGATTTCGTTGAAAGAAAACCTTGATGACAAAAGAAGAGAAGCTGACCGTAGGAATTTTTAATTCTTTGTTTCTTCTGCTCATGTGCGACTGCAAGTAAACAAACTACACTACGGTTTATAAAAAAGTAAGAAAAAGTAAATTACGATATAAAAAGTAAAGAGTATCTAAAAGGAGTAAGGGATATTCCCACTGAAGAGGCGAAAGCAGAACCACCAATTGAAATCTTGTTCACTACACATTAAATACGCAAAAAGACAGCCGGTGGGTGCTGAAAACGCGGACAAAAACACGCTAAAAAGACAGACAAAGAGAAGCTTTTGAGTTTAGGTTTACTCGTCGCCTTGGCCATCTTCCTTCACCAGTTTAATCATGTCGTCGATTCTCAGTATCGTAATGGCTGCCTCTGTTGCGAACTGATCACACACAACAAACAAAAAGCTCATTTAAGACATCACTTGATTTTAAAAAAAAAATTATCTTGAGGTGAGAAAAGAAAGTCAAAATGCTTCACCTGAATGATTTTCACTTTGCTCATAGCTGGTTCGATCACACCAGCTTCTAAATTGTTACGGACGATTCCGTTTACAAGGTCCAGTCCCATGCTGCAATTTGCGTTTCTCTCAACATAAAGCCAATGAGAAAAATAACATTTAAATGGGGAAAACAAACAAACATTAATATTGCATTATTACCTAGAATAGTGCTTCTTATCAGCCTTGGTTTGTGCCGTGTGGTGGTAGGCTCTTAGTTTAGCTACCAACTCTGTTGCATCCTTAGCAGCGTTCACTGCAAGCACCTGTAAATAGGATATGATAAGACCAGAACAATAGATAGCTTTTCTATTTATATATATTGATGAATTAGTATTGGTAGGTCGCACCTTAGGTATAATCAATAACGCCTCTGCAAATTCAGCAATTGCCAACTGTTCGCGAGACCCCAAGGTTGTGGCTAGGTGCTCCAGATACACAGACAATGCTGATTCAACTGCACCTCCACCTGCAACCACCTGTTTGACGAGAAGGAGTGTTGCGTAAAAAAAACAGAAATTTGATTATTATTAGTTATTACCAAATGCAAAGGAGCTTCTCTAAAGGGCAGAAAAAAGGATATTACCGTGTTGGACTCGAGGGTCCTCTTGACAATACATAAAGCATCGTGCAGTGCTCTCTCCATCTCATCAAGCATGTAGTCATTTGCACCTCTCAAGATCAAAGAGACCTAACAAAAAAAAAACTTCAAATGAAATATATGATAGATTTTGTGTGATATTGTAGTATCAACAATTAAGCATGATCGCAAGTAGAGAGCAAATGTCATACCGCACTGCTCGTTTTGGTTCCCTTTATCAATACAACATCATCATCTGCGATTCTCTCCTCCACAACTTCGTCTGCAGATCCAAGGTGTGCTGCATCAAATGTTTCTTCGCCCTCCATGTCAGCAAAAGTGGTGACCTAAAAAAACAAAGAACAAGGATATCAGTAAATAACTTCAAGTTTCACAATCACGTTGAAGTTTTTTCTTGTAACTTGGTTCTAATGCTTATAATATTGACAAGGAATAGCTGAGGAAGTACCAGCGTTGCTCCTGTTGCCTTAGCAACATGGCGCATGTCTTCTTTGCGGACACGCCTAACGGCAATAGCTCCTGCCTCTACAAAGTACTGGAATAAAGCAAACGAGGTGAAAGTCCAAGAATTTCAATAACTTTAGATGAATCAATCATGAAGACAAGTAAGACTCGAATACTTAAAAAAACTGAGTAATGCGTCAGGGTAGAGAGAAACTTATTGGTTTTCAATCTTACTTTAAGTGCCATGTCGTCAATTCCTTTCGTGGTCAGAATTACATTGGCCCCAGCTTTAAGAAGTTTCTCTATCCGCTCTTTTGTCATGTCAGCTTCTCTGTGAAACAAATATTCACCAAAACATTAAGAAAAACTCTGTATGGAAGA